CCTGTTTAGTTATAAAAAGCATCAACAAGTCCTCAAGTGCTATAGCTCTCCTAAATGAAGAGCAGGTACGGGCCTTTCCACCTTGGAGAGAGACAGTCTTTCCTTTGATGCACTTTGCGATACACTCAGTCTCCTGCTTGGAACTGGTCAAATGGTTCAGTTTCAGGTAGCCCGCTCTGATTATGATGTTGTCTGACTCACTCTTGGGTTTGGCGCTGCTCCTGTTGAAAAGATTGTATAGCATGTAAGTAATTTGACCATGGGTCAGGGTGAACGCTTTCTGGAATGGGGAGCGAGCCAAGGCCCAGAGGCATTGGTCACCCATATACCATTTCATAGGGAAACAGTTTCAGTTCCTTTAGGGGTGAGCTTCTGATGGCCAACAGTGCCATGGGGAGTACATCTACCCAGCCCCAACCAATTGCTTCTACATAGTTACTGAAGGTGCATATTACAATCAATAGGTGCTTCTTCTGTTTACACGGAGGCATGTCAGCAAAGTCAGTCTGTATCATTTGGAAAGGATACTGCCCTCTAGGCAGTTGGGAAGGACATGGCCTCAGTCCTCTCCCTTTAGAATGGGCCAGGCAAACTGCACAGTTGCCAACTATCTTCTGTGCTTCTGCATTAATCCCTTTGCCTGCCCAATGTTGCTTAAATCTCTGAGCTAACGCTTCTGCTCTTTCATGACCTTGATCATGTAGCAACTTTAAAATGTGCTTAACTGCCATCCTGGGAATTATTACTTTCCCTTTTAATTTCCAGACTCCTTCTTCCACCTTTGCTGCTTGGTTCTGTTTTCATTCCTCTTTCTCGTGGTTAGTGGCATATTCCTGCACCTAAGCTGCACCTGCAGGTACAGTGCAGGGTAACAATTGCAAAAATTTCTGCTCTGGCTGTGGTTTGAGAGCAGCTTGCTTTGCTGTCCCCTCAGCCAATTCATTGCCTTTAACTCCTGAATGTGCTTTAACCTTGACTATTGCTAAAGCTTTTGGGTTCTGGATGAAATTTAAAATAGCACGAATTAATGGGGCATGTTTAATCTCTGTTCCATTGCTTGTCAGGAATCCCCCGTTTTTCCATAGTTGACTGTAATCTTGAGCTATTCCCCATGCATATCTTGAATCAGTATAGATGTTAGCTGATTGTGTCCTTACATAAGACAAGGCTTGATGTCTGCCACTTGAGCTGAAACGGGGGGTCAATGCTGTCGGCTTCTATAACGGAATGTTCTGTGGTGACTGCATAGCCTGCCTTGCGCTCTCCCCCCTCTGTGATGAAACTAGTACCATCACAGTAAATTTCAAAGTCTGCTGGATTCTGGAGAGGAGTTTTAGAAAGTGTTACACCTGGATTCTGCAAAAGTTGCATGTCATATGATGTGAGGCGGGATGCTGAAATAGA